TGGCAACTATTTTTATTTATAATTTATTTATAAAATTGGATCCATAAGTCTTAATATTATTCTAATTAATGTAAACATTCATTGAGAACTTGAAAAGTTGAATGCATTGAAATAGTTTGCTTGATTTTTCTCAATTTGATAAAAAAAAAAAAAAAAACAGTCCCCTGTCATGTTATATGGCAAAAGACACACAAATATCGAAAAAACAAAAATTAATTTGGCTGTTAATTTATTATCATTAAGCTGATAGTTTTGTAGCCCTTGTTAATTTTTTTTCTAATAAAATCAAAAATAATTTGGCCGGACAATTTTGTACAGATTTAAGACGTCCTTACAGTGAATCACCCATATTTATTATCATTATAATTATTTATATTTTAATTTTGCAGGCTCAATTTATCAAACTAACAAAGAAATACAAACGAGGTAAAATAATAACTTTGTTATTTTTTCTTAATTTATTCTATTTATAATTTGTACTTAAATAAGTTTTTTTTTTTATTTATATATTTAATATTCTTTGTTTCAGCCACTGGAAATAAATGCTCAATATTTCGTTTTGCGTGGATTTAAAAATTCAGCAATAAAATGAATTCGTTATTATATCGATAATTAATGCTAAATTAATGCGAGTTATTAAATAATTAAAAACAGTTAACGCTTTTATATAAGACTTAATGAAATGACATTAGAAAAAGATTAATGATGATTAATTAACAATTGTAAGACCTTTAATTTAATTATTTTATATAGAAATATTTCATATAAGTTATCAAGAAGATTTACACGTTAGTTTTTGTTTTTTTTTTTTATGTTTTTTTCTCAAGAAAGCCAATGATATGTAAAAATACATTATTATTATTATCTATATACAATACTTTATAAGTATAAGTGCAGCAACCAAGATATACATATATCATACATATAATTTTTCACAATAGGTTTTACTTTTTTTTTTTTTATATTTTTTTTCTTCATCATTGGACAAGTATGCGGCGTATCTTATAATTAATTTTTAAATTTAAAAATCAATTACAAGCACCAACGCGTCAAAAAATACGGACGTACGTGTAGGAGGTGACATAGGTTTCTTAATAATTATTCACATTTTTTTTTTCCTTCTTTTAAATATTATTTCGATGAAACATTTTTAGATAAATACGTAAATTTTTTATACAAACATTTTACTCATTTATTAATGAACTATTTATTAAATAATTACTAAAAATATCTAATAAATGCTATAAAATAAAAATTCGAGTCAACACCATTCAATTAATTATTTTTGTTCATTAATAACGAAAAAAAATCATCACTTGTTAATATTTATCATCAAGTCTACAATCACGTACGTTCAACTGAAAATATTTTTATTTATCTACTTTAAAATAAGTACTAATAAATTTTTTATTTTTTTATTAAATTCATTATCTTTTTTCTTTATTATTTAATAATAATTATTAAATATTTTATACACATATATTATGTACGAACATATATGTATATACTGCAATCTTAAAGGCACTCCTGATGTTTTATTTCATTTTTTTTTTATATCTTATATTACAATATATATTTATATTTATATATAATTATTTTTACAATAGTGTTTTACAATTAACACCGTTGTATCTCTTTATAAATTTTAATATTTCCAAGAGTAAAATTACTGATTGTTACGGAAATTTTTTTCTGTAAAATTGATTAATTTAAAAAAATTGCACAATACAAAATAATTCAATAAAACAATTTTAAAAAAAATCCAATCACACTGTCGAAATTTTTCAGTATTAAAAACATGATTTTTTTTTTTTGAATAAATTTAAAATGTACCCAAATATTGTAAAAATCAAAAGCAAAAAAAATCGAAAATAAAATACACGATTAATATTAATAATTTCTGTTTTTTTTTTCAATCGTTTGCTCCACGAACAAAACCTTTGGCTTCTGGCTTAAGTCACCGCAAGTCACAAACCTTCCATTCATCATTAGTATCATTACATTTATTAATGTATTCATTAAAATTATTATTATTTTAATATTCTTACTATTATTATCATCATTATAATCAGATTCATCATACTTCAATACATAAATACAATATGATACAGACACCTATTTATAAGAATGGTTTTGTTCAGTGATTTTAATTAAAACATTTGTTTGTTAACTTCTTTTAATTAAAGAGTGGGAAGATTTCACTCGTCTCATGGCCAAATTAAGGAACAGTCGGTCAAATCGACCTAATAGGTACCTTAATTATCCCTTTAGTGTTTTTTTTTAATTATTTTTTTACCGATTTTTGAATGTGAATCATTTTTATCAATAGACCTTCTCAGGCATTCTACCCCTGCCCGCCACCCAAAGAAGATGACCAGCAAGAGTTTGATCCCTTTGATTATCTTAATACTATTGTAAGGGCTTTGGATATATTTTTTATGCATGCGCATGGATTTTTTTTATCATTAAAGACACTATTTTTAATAATTTAAGACACTTTTGGAACACTAGTCACTCTAATTTATCAAAATTTTGATAAAAAGTTGAAATTGTTATATATTTTTGGTTTTAAGGTTCTGCAAGCGAGAATAAAAGCGCCATATCGCCACCTAGCGGTAGCTTTACAAACTAATAGCCAAAAAGTTACTTTTTTTGGTTAAATAATAAAGAATTCAAGTTTAAAGGCTGTATTAGTTAAAAACTTAGTTATTTCTATATTTTTTAATTAATATTCCATATATATATATATATATATATTATTTTTTTTTATTGAAGATGAAAACAAATCACCTCATAGTAGAATTGAGAATCATAAATAATCATTTATACACGCTGCATAAGATTGTTCATTGGTCTGCTTAAAGACACCCGTAAAATAATAATTACAAATTTCGAATCTCATTCGGCTTTTTGCTGATGCTGATACAATTCTTTTAGTGTTTTAAGCTCATCAATGAGCGTTTGGTTTCTGTTTTCTAATACAGCTACTCTATTTTCCAGACACTTAATATATTCCTTTTTTTTTCTTCGACATTCACGCGCTGCTTCTCTGTTAAATTAATATTATTATTTTTAATAATTGTAATAATCATACACTGATAGAAGGATTTATTAACTAATAATTTAATTTATTTGAAAATAATTATTTAATTTATTAAATTTTAATAAATATTTTTTAACATTCAATAAATATTTATTTGGGAGGAAAATAATAAATATTTTTTGCAGACTAAACTATAACCTTTATATTAAATTTTAGCGTCTAACTATACCTTCAAATTTTCAAAGCGGTATCCAGAACTTGAACAAGCTGGGGCCGTATAATTTTAACAGCACTCTAATGGGTTTATAGACTAGTGATCAACATTGTGATTTGTATTAATTACTTGCAAATTAAATAAGTTTGATAGCTAAAAATTAGTGTAGTTAAAAATAATTGAACGTTTTGAATTGAATTTTTTTTTATTTATTAATTGAAAATTTTAAAAAATCTCTAAATACCCATTTTGTAATTTTTAAAACGAATAAATATTTTTTTCATTTTTATGTAATAAAAGAAATAAAAGAATTCACTCCACGGAGTTTTTTTTTATAAATGTATCAGTGTTAATAGTCTATTTATTCTTTTTTTTTTTTTTTACTTAAATCAAATGTCAAGTGCTTACGACTTTAAGTTAGGGTTGTGTAGAGATAAACTATGTAGAGATTTCAAATCTCAGAAATATTTTTGTGCATAGATATTCTGTTTTAATAATTATTTTTATGTGTGTAGAGATACCGCGGTGTAGAATTAATCTTGTATAGAGATTTTTCTATGTGAAAAGAAACGTATTGGCTTGACTCGTATAGAGATAAATTTTGTAAGTTTTCAAGATGTAGACAAATTCTGTGTAGGCATGCACCACACTCTTGTTCAACTATTACTCCTTTCATAGTCTATCTTAAAAACGTTGTCAAAATATAAATACTCAATTGTCTTTATATTTTGGGCTTTGATCAATTCAAAATTGTTTATATTTTGATGAAAATCACTAATTTTAACTAATCTTTAACATCTTTATGTATTAAAGGACAACTACTGGGTACTTTACCTCAGCAGTAAACAAATATTTATTAACCATTAATGAATATTTATTAAAATTTAATAAATAATTGATTAACTGTTAATAAATATATATTAAATCCTATGATGTTAAAAATCATTTAATAACAGTTAATAAAGCTTATTAAATATGGACAAATCCTTCCATTAGTGTACTCAAGCAGAATAAATTAATTAATTAACAGATTTATTGATTACTCACCTATTCTTCTGCAACCTCATCTCACGCTTTCTGGCTGCGTCTTCAACAACGACTCCGTGGCCTGTGTAGTCTGTAACATTGCAGACAGATGTACTTTTTGAAAATAATTAACTCGAATAAAATAATAAAATTGTTTTTACTACTAGCTCAAATAAATATAAATGCAGAGAAAGGGTTTAAATAATAAAAGATAAATAAAAAAATCAATAAGAAGAAACAAAGTAAAATAAAATAAAATAATAAAGAAGCTTAAGAAGAAAAAGGGACACACCTGGGACAAAAAATTGTGTATCCTGGCCCTGTGCATACTGCACTATTGTACCTCCTGCCGTTGTTGCATTGCTCATTGTCAGCGTATGAAGCCCTGGCACACCCTCCCCCTGGGTAGCTATTTGTATTGTTCCCGCCGGTATTACTGCAAAATATTTTATCTTGTAAAAATAAAGCCCCCGAACAGTAACAATATACACGTATTTAAATGTAATGACGTTTTTAACAACAAAATGATAAATACATCAAACTAACGCGCTTCGTATTTATTAATTATTTAAATATTAATTTAATACGCGAATTACCGTAGATGCCATACCAAGCAGAACAGAGGAAACGGCAGTATTACACAGGGACAGGACAACCTAGATTAATTTATTAACGGAAAGGAATTAGGTTTTAAGCATTAATTTAATTAATAAACAACAGTTTAGTTATTTAATTATTAATAATTAATATTAAGTGATTGAATCATGAATAAATAAGTAAGTAAGTAAGTAATAAACAAACAATCTAATTTATTTATTTACTTAGTTTATAGATTAAAGTATAAACCAACCTGTTTGGTATTGTAGTGAATGAGAAGACATGTCACTGTCCACATTAGAGTCACACTCTAGAGAGGATTCAAGGGGAGGCAAAGGACCCGCTGTAACACCGAATCAATGACTCGGATTATTTTATAATCTCAATCCATCATCGTCTTCTTCTTCTTCCTCATACATATCAAGTTATTACTTATAACTTAAACCCATTTCAATACTGTGGATCATTGGTAAGCAGTATTCGCTATTGCGGTCAGTATCCTCACGAATCTTTTTCATTATCATTGTTACATTATACACTGATAGAAGGATTTGTTCATATTTAATAAAATTTATTAACAGGATTTTAAATAAATATTTATTAACAGTTAATAAATTATTTATTAAACACGATTGATTAAATGTTAACAAGTATTTGTTAGAATGACGTACTTTTCATTTTTATTTACTTATAATTTTTTTTTAATTAGAAATTTTAATTTTTCCTTTTATGAAAGTAACAATTATTTAATTCTAAATTAACAAAAAAATTAAATGAGACTGAAACTAAAAGACGTCTGTGAAATTTTTAGATTTTTATAACTAAATTTTAATTAAAAAATTCCACATATAGAAATTAAAAAAAAATTATAAGAGCAAGTTATTTAAGAATATTTTTTTTTTACAATTAATATTTAATAAAAATCGAAAAAATTGTTAGACAAAAATATAATATCGCAACTGAGTGACATCTGATAATTTTTAGAATTTTTTTAATAATTAAATTATACTAAAAAAAAAAAAATCATTTAAAAATTTTCGTTTTTAAAAGCTCTGGAAAATTATAAATGGAATTTTTTAAAGATAATTTTCTAGACCTAGTATATTTCTCAAGAAAAACCAAAAAATTGTCAAGTGTCTGCTAATTTCAGTGTTATATAAAAATTAATGTAAACAATTTTTAAAAATTTTTGTTTTAAAAATTGAAAATAGTTTTGTCAAGAGGGGAAATACGTGTAGAAGGCCGTTTAATATTAATTATTGAAACTATCAGATTATTTTATAGATATATTTATGAGTATTTTTTCGTATCAAACAGCAATACAACTTAACAAATAGCAGAGATATCAACTGATACACATCGTAGGTTGTCATCCGACTTAGCAGTTGGTGTGCAGTATGAAAGCCACAATTTTTATCTGAAATCACTCGGCACAGAAAAATTACTTTTTTTTATATGTATATCTTCTATATGAACCTCAATTCCAAAAAAAAAGTAAAAATTTGCATTTTTTAGAGGGCTGTGAAATTAAGTCGTGATTTCTTACCATTTTTTCATACATTGTTTATTAAAAAAAAATTAGTTTAAATAAAAATAACGGTTATGATGGAGGTTCGTATTCAGCATAATTGTATAAAGAAAAGTAATTTTTCTGTGCCATTGATTTCAGATAAAAATTATGGCTTCCATAGTGCACACCAATTGCTAAGTCGGAAGACAACCTACGATGTGTATCAGCTGATATCTCCGCTACTTTTTAAGTTATACTAGAATTTGAATTTACGCGCGCAAACGCGCGCTTTGACTATAGAGTTTGCATATATTTTCATGCTTATGATATATTCAACCAATCACGTTACGAATAGTTTGATGCCACATACATTTCATCTCAATTTTATATTAGGAAAAAACTAGAATTTGCGCTTGACTATGGAATTTGCATATATTTTCATGCTTATGACATATTCGACCAATCACGTTACGAATAGTTGGATGCCACATACATTTCATCTCAATTTTATTATAGGATTGTCGTAAAATATGGAAAAATATAAATGTATGTACAAAATAACCTGATAGTTTCAATAAATAACATTAATTTTCATACCTTAAAAAAGTTAATAAAAAATCAGCATGAAAACGTCTTTCTACACGTATTTCCCTCCTTAATATAAATAATTTATAAAGATGATTTTCATTTATAAACAATATTCATATCATATAACATTGCAAGCGAAATAAATTCACTCAACAAAATAATTATTAACTGTTAATAAATATTTGTTAACTACTAATAAATACTTATTAACTATTAATAAATTTACTTTCCCTTCAAATAAATATTTAATGAATGTTAAAAAATATTTATTAAAATTTAATAAATTAAATAATTGTATTAAAATAAATTAAATTATTAATAGTTAATAAATCCTTCTATCAGTGTATTCAATTCGTGCTGTCAGATCATAGACGCAATAAGTGAATGCAAGTATACGTGCTTTTTAAGAGTACTTTTTTTTAAGCATTGTAACTCCCTAGCTTCCGTTGGAACAAATGAAAAATGAAAAATAAAACTATGGTACTGGTGTTGTGTACCGGGGAATTTTTAAATAAAGGGATGTAAAATATGCTAGTGGAGGGTTGACCAGTCGATAAAAGCTACTACTAAATGTGATAGTACATGCTGTGCTAGTGCGATAATGGAGCCTTCAAGCGTTAAATCATGCACAATTATTTCTACTCTGCTTGGTGTGGCATCATCATTATTCTTTTCTTTTAATCGGTTCATTTACTTTTTGCTTTTTTAAATACGGATTTTTTTTTACAAGGATTTGGATAAGGATTCTGTCGTATGACTGACATGCACTATTTTGTTTACAGTTTTCAAAACTAAAATAAAAAATACCCCGATCATGACTCACTGTCGCCGCAACAATGAATACTTTTTACGTTTTTAATATTGTGATTGTTAATTTTTTTGATTAATAATTCTTTAATCACACGTTATAGGCGTCGTTAAGTTTAATTTTATGTAGACACAGTAAAGTACTCCAATTGTTCATTGATAACATAGATAATTAAAAGAAGCGATAAGAAGTTTAGTTAAGGTTTAGAAAATAATTTAAGTTATCGTTAAAGTAATAACATAATTACCGGCTATTTCACTCGCGCTTAAATCATTTAGGATTTTACGATATGAAGCACGTCTTGTGAGTAAATCTCGTCGTTTTTTAGGTGATTCGTCATCTGAACAACTTTCATCACTCGCTGTTTCAACGACCTAGAACATATTTTAATTATTAATAATCAATATCATTTTTATTTTTTATTCATTTCAGTAAACATTAGCTTTATTAGTTTAAAAATAATTTTTTAATATTAAAAATTAAATCTTAAAAAAAAAAATTATATTTCAACTTTTTTTTTAGTTTTAGTAATACACAAAAATTAAAAATAAATTTTCATCAATAATTAGAAAATTTTAAGTAATATTGATTAGAATATAGTATAAAGTATAATTACAATTTTTTCATTAAATATTAAAAAGACGGTTCATTTAACGTCATACTATTTAATAATAATGTCAAGTCTATTTTTTTTTTTTTTTAATAATTATAACTTAAAATTTAACCCGTAGTGGTCATTATGGGACTAGATGCGGCCAGGCAATTTTTGAGTTGCTCTTGCTTCGAAGATATCATTCAAAATGGTATCTGTGGTACCATCTATTATTGTTTGAAGATTTTTTGACATTCATAGAAATTTACGATTTTAATTTCACAAATAAATATGCGCAGAAAGAAAAAATTTATTGACTGGAGAACAAAATTCTTGGCTCAAGAAAATTTCGTCTGCCTGAAGGAAGACCAGAGTTGTGTTGGCCGAATTAAAAATTTTTCTTGAAATTCTATTCTTGGTGCAAGTAATTTTTTCTTAATTCAAATTATTATAAATGCTTGATACAATAAATTTTTATATTTAATCAAGATTTTTAGATACTTTAGGGAAGCAGCGCTACTTACTTCAGCTGAGAAAAAAATTTTCTCACCTTGAGAAAATTTTTCTCTTGAATATTTGATACCCTTTTTATATTATTTTAACGTGCAATTATACATATTGAATGAAAAAAAAATGATTCAATAATATTCGATCTTCCCATTTGACTGTTAATCAATAAAAATATTAATGAAAATTTACTTTTATCTTTATATTTAATTTTTTGAAGCAAGAGAGAAATTTTCTCAAGACAAGAAAATTTACTTCTATCAAGAACTAAATTTTTTGGAGCAAGAGGCTGAATTTTCTCAAAACAATTAGATTTTCTTGACTTAAATAAATTTTCTTGGATCAAGATACGTAATTCTTAAAGCAAAAGAGTTAATTTTGTTGGAATAAGTGAAATTTCTTGTCAAAAAAAAATTTTTTTTCGCTCAAGAAAATAATTAGGAAAAATATTTTTTTGGCTCAAGTGAACCTTTTTTTCTGTGTAATTTTTGAAAAACTCGACATGACACCTCTTTTTTTCAAAGTATGCAATGATATTCGGAGTAGAACCCCGAAGTTCGTTTAAATTTATCTTAAAAAATGAAGTTTTTAGTAAAAAAAAAAAAAGGTCAAATTTTTCGAAATTTGACTTTCTCGTATTTTTTTTTATAATTAAACAATTAGAAAAAAATTAAAAAACGATTGAGTTATTCAACGGAAGTGTTAAGAATTACTTTCATGTACGGCTCGAGTGAAAATATTGAAAAGAACGCAAGTAGCAACAATTTTTTCCGTGCATGGGGTCAACTAGACCCAGTATGACCACTACGTTATTTTTAAGAAGTGTGACCACTATGGGTTAATAATAAATTAAATATAAGAGAAATAAGGATTCAAATAAGCATCAATACACCAGCAGTATTGGAATACGCAACGTTTCGCTATATTTTATAGCTTCTTCAGGCTCTTCAATACACATTTTTGTATCGTGTCATAATCATTATAGCCTTGTATACGTATATATTTAATAATGTTGTACACGTTACGCTATATAAAATAATCCTACTTGTTTTTTAATTATTTGACTCAATATTTTATATTACAAAAAATAGAATAACAGAACAAAAGTCATTCGAGTTACAGGCTATCAAAAACAAATCCTTATTCCTCTTATATTTAATTTATTTCAAATTATTGGATCTTAAACTGATTAATTCAAATTTATTCATAATAGAAAAATATTAAAAATTTCTACAATATTTATAAATAAATAAATTACCTGTAAAGCTTGCAAACTTCCTTGCGCTGATTGTATAACAGAATTAGGTTTACTGACAAGTATAACATTTCCTTTTGAAATAGCTACAGGTTGTATATTTGTAGCACTCTGGATCACAGATTGATGATTTGGTTGGATAACTGATTGTACCTGATAAATATCAATAATAATAATTACATAATTATTTACAATCCACTGTTGTATCAATAACCAAGTTACAATTAGTTTTATTATTATTTTTTGTAGTAAAATTACCAAATTTAATCACTTGATCTTGAATTATAATGAAAATACTAACTCCAATTTCTCACAAAAAAATTCAAAGCTAATTGCAGATAAATTATCATCCTAATAAATAACTTGGTTATTTCAGATTAATAAATTAAAAAAAGTTGTTAACCAAAACCAGCATTCTGCATTATCTGTGCGTTAAAAAAAAATTAAGCGAAAAAAGTGCAGGTAAAGCGGACATAAATTAAATTAAAAAAAAAAAAATGATGGCTCATAGGTACACAGGATATTTATAAATAAAAAAATCCTGTATGTACCTGCGTCGTCCCCGACGTAGGTAACGTAAGTTGCACAATGCTGGTGGAGGCTACCAGGTGATGAGTTTGCAGTTGAGATCTGCTCAAGGATTGTACCGAGGTAGCGATTGCTGGTGCCGAATCACCGCTGTGGGAATCCGGCGACAATGGGTCAACGGCTGATCCGTTTTCTTCGACCATACTTTCCATATCCTGGGGACCAGTAGCCCTGAAAAAATTAAATATTTAATTTAAAAAAATTTTTAAAGCTATTTGTTAATTAATAAACATCATGGTAATTATTTACAAGTGGAATCAACCCCATTTTGGGCCATAACTAGGTGAAAAATTAACATTTGCAAATTTTTTTTTTATTCTACTTGTTTTTACGGCGCATTTATGATAAATATCGTGAAAGAAAATAATAAAGATTTCGACAGCTTTTTTTGCCTTCAAAAGTTGGAAAAAATTTTGGCTTTCATGTTTTTGGATAAAATTTCTATTTTATCTTTTTTTGATATATTTTTTTTGAAAAAGACAAAAAAAATGAACAATTAAAAAAAAAAAAAAAAATTAAATATCACAATTTTTTAAAAAATTTATAAATTTTTTTGAAAATTTGTTAAAATTGTGATAATCAACTTTCTTTTTTTTTTAATGTTCATTTTTTTTATATATTTTTCAAAAAAAAAAATATATCAATAAAATCAAACTAATATAAAATTCGACGTTTTTAAATTTTTGATTATTTTTCATTTATTAAATTAGAACTAAAAAAAATTTTTTTTAAAATTGCACTTATAGTTTTTCAAGTTATTTGCAAATAAAAATTTTTTTTTATTTTTCTGTAATGACTTTTTCAATAAAAAAAAAATTTTTAAAATTTGTAGATGTCGGCTAACTTAATTTTCATTAAAATTAACCAGAAATTTCGTTGAAAAAATGAAAATGAAAATAGTTGACCCCACTTATAAATATTCACCAACATAATTACGGTTCCATGATTTTTGATCCCCCGACAAAATATGGTTTTTCTGAAATAATAATTATAAATTATTATAAATTTATAATTTATAATTATTATTTCAGAAAAACCATATTTTGTCCGGGGATATTTTGTCGGGGGATCAAAACGCCTGATACCCATAATTACTAATTATAAATAATTAAAAGTTAAAAAATTCACTTGTATTATTTAAATAAAGGATTTAAAATTTTCCCGCCATTCACATGGCACCGCAACAACTGCGTCATTTACATAAGCAGTTCTAAAAATACTATTCAACACACACAATATAAATGTTTTTAGTTTTGTTCACCATCATAATAATATAAATAGCCAAATCCAAATGGTATAAACATCAGAACTGGACAATAATAACGAAGAGGTGGATGGTACTTGGTAGAATAATTATTTTTCACCAAACAAATATTATTTTATTCCATCACAAACAGCAGAGTCGAAATGACCTCAATAATTTTAAATAAAATTTCCAGGTTCGCTGCAGCCAAATATAATATCTTGATTTTTTGTTTGTTGTTAATTATTATTATTAAAAAAAAATAATAAAACGTTGTTGATCAGACGCCATATTTTCAAACAGAACCACGACTAGTCACGTCGATGGATCTTATAAAAGTGCCTACGGTGATGATGTATGCCCGCCACAAACACACTCACACAAGTGATTGAAAAATAAAATAATAATCAATTATGTATCACAAAATAGGTATAATGTATAACAAAGTGATTGGTCTGTCGTTTAAATTACCAAACTAAACATACCATCCACCACTTCTTCGCTACGGTCCATGCCTCCTTGTTATTATTCTCCAGCTGGTGTATGTACTTACCAGTTACGTATTTCTCGTCACCAACTTTGCTGCAATACGAGTGGGCAAGCGGGCAGGTACGTAGCAGCCACGTCAAAACTCCAGTGGCTTCGTCACTGGTTGGAAAGACCACGATCTCCAATACAAGCGTCACCATCAAAATGGCGCCTGCCCGTTCCAAGAGTGAGTAAGCTTGTAGTAGTGTAGTGTACTATATGTATTATATTATATATTATAACATATGTATATACAACACAACAACAACATATACCAACACATGGTTAAGTATGTGCTGCTCAAATCTCGCTCAGTAAATTCACAGGTTGTCTTCTTCGCTCTTGTTGGTGGCTCATCAAAAGTTGAGACGCAACTACCGAATTATTGGGAGATTTTTTTGCGTGCTAGAGCGAGTGAGAAATATATCAATGTTAAGTATGTGCAATAGAGGGGATATATATCAGTGTACTTTCTGAGTGTGTGAAGATGATAATAAAAAAACTTGTCTCCACTAGCAGGAGATTAGCGCTTATGCTTATGTACATGTAATTTAAAGAGAGACATCTATAAAATGCTTTTAAATTATTGTTATAATTTTTCACAAAATTAATAATGTAACAATTTTTTTATTATTTTTTTTTTAAACATAACTTTTGTTTTTTATTTATTATTTTAATTATTTTTTATCGGAAATATTTAGATAATATTTAAATATGCTTTTTATTTTAAAACTGGAAAATATGTTGACGTCATCTGATGACGTCATCGGTATATTTTATCTATTATTGTATTAACATATACGTGCATATTATATTTTTTTTTTTTTAATTGGAAACATTTTTTTAGTTGATAAATATTTTAATGTAGTAATGTAGTATATAAATTTTTTAACACGCGTATTTAAAGATACTTTTAAAATGTGTTTATTACTTTTAGAAGATTTTTGTTTAATCCAGAGATTATGTTCTGATGACGTCATTCGTGGATGTAAAGAAAAATGAGTCATCGCGATATTTTACGTCGCCGACAAGGTCACAAGTGTTGACCCAAGACCTCTTGTTTTTTATTCTTTTTAAAAATAAGGTAAACGGATGGACAAGTGAATAAATTAATTTTGTTAATTTAGAAGAATTTTTCCTTTTAAACTCTCGGTGATTTCACCGTTTTCGTAGATTGAATTTCCACGCAAAATAGTTGATATTACACGGCCGTTTAATACTTTTCCTTCATATGGAGATATCTATAATTTAAATTAGTAGTAATATTATTTAAAGTTATTTTAGTCTTTTATTTACATATGATTACCTTGTTCTTGTATAAGATATCCGCTCTTTGTACCTGAAATAAAATCCGATTAGTTTATTTTAAATTTTGTTTATAATTTTAAATTTACCGTAAACTGGGACTCAGGATTCCACACGACAAAATCAGCATCCATGCCTGGGTAAATTCGGCCTTTGATTTTATCCAAGCCGCACAATTTTGCAGGGTTTGCTGATATGTAACGCGATATCTCGCAGATAGTTATTTTTTTTAATTGAGCTTCCGTCCAAATTACAGACAGTCCTAAATTAAATAAACATGAGCTTTTAATAAAATAATTTATTTATAATTATTTTAATTTTTACCGAATTGTAAAGAAGAAATTCCTCCCCATGCATCAATAAAACTATTGATTTTAAGGTCTTGAGTACACGGCGAATGATCTGAGACAACCATATCTAATATTCCATTTTTTAAAGCTTTCCATAATTTTTCCTACCAATAAAATCCAATTGTTTTAAATTAGTTTAATAAAAATTTTAAAAATATTAATTCTCATCAAGCTTACCCGATTTTCACTAGAGCGAATCGGCGGGCAACATTTAAATCTAGTAGCAGAATTAGGAATTTCTTCAGCGGCAAATGTTAAGTAATGATAGCAGGTCTCTGCAGTTATTGGAATATTATTTTTTTTAGCCTCTGCAATTATATCAAGAGCTTCACTTGCAGATAGATGGACAATATGACAATGTACGCTGAAAAATCAATAGCGATTGGTATATTTTTAACTAATTATTACAATCGATTATGAATATTTATTATTGAACTTGAATTTACGGCAGGGTTTCAACATACTTGTATTTTTTACAAAGAGAAGCAACATCTGAAATTGCACGCACTTCCATACTAGATGGACGGGAATGAAGAAAAGTTTCATATAAATTAGGATCCATTCCTTCTGTAGATATGGTATCTTCAAATTCAGCATGAAACTGTAAAATTTTTTAACTAGTAGGTAATTATGTAAATATATATTTACTTATTTATTTACCGCTAGTACAGTTTTAGTAAACTGCAACTCTTTGAGAGCTTCTTCAACTTCTGATAAAGTTACGTAATTAAACTCTGGTACTCCACTTGGTAGTAAAAAACATTTGAAACCAACTACGCCGGCTTCAACCATTTTTTTCAATTCTTTCTACAAAATAATTTGGTTTAATTATTACTAATTCAACAATATTATAATGATAATAGACATAACTTTTTTTTTTAAACTTTAACTAAATAAATTTTTTTATTCTAAGAATTCAAGTCAAAAAAATGACTCACTTCTTAATTACACTTAGAGAAAAAATTTCTTTTGAAAAAAATTAACAATGTAATAAAAAATTAATTTGTTGAATATTTTAAACAAGTTTTTATTTCTTAGCTAAAGAAATAAAAATTTTTCTCACAGCAACTTTCTTGTTGAGGAAAAAATTTTGTAAATATTTACAGCCATTTTCATTTTTATAAACGAAATTTCTATTTGATTTTCTCTTTGTTGATGTATTTTTTTTTTTTAATACTTAAAAAAATGAAAAAAAAACCCTTGTAAAATATTAATTAATTAACTTTTTTATACATCGGTCA